CCTTTTTTTTTTGTATAAATTATGACTAATGTTGGTATGAAATTGGTATTTTCTTATAATACCTATTTTTTTTTATAATAAGAAGGTTTCTTTTTCAATTTCTCCAACTAGGTTAATGGCAATGCGGAAAAACAAAGAATGATGATAGCGCGATCAGTGAGAGTGAAGTAACTGGGACTGTTGCTAGCAAATTTGATGGATCCCGCATAGCAAAAGAACATGCTCCAGATACCAGCAATTATCCTACACCAAGACTACGGAGATCAAATTTGAGATAGTTGATTGCAGCTTAGACTCTTTAGTATTTCATGTCTTTTTAACTTTGAACGATATATATTTGTTTTGATACAGTTTTAAGTATTGAATGATATAGAATATGCACTGTTTTCTTCAAGTCAGTTATCAACTACATATGAATTACAGATTGACTCTCATAATTTCAGGATACTAGTTATATATAGACTGCATATCAATTGGATACAAATTTTTGGATATCAGTTATATACAAACTACATAACAATTGGATACATAAACAATTTAGTTTTTGCTATTTAATTGGAGATCAAAATGAACACCATATAATTGGTATCCAAACTGTATATAGTTGTACATCCAATTATTCATACCAATATTTATTCAACCTGAAGGATCTCATCTACCACCATATTTAATTAATATAGATAAGCAGTCGTCCATCACAACAAAATCAAGATTTTTCAAACAAAAAAAAATTGATTTACTTGTCAATGACAACAATTCTGAAAAAAAAAAAACGAAGAGAGAGTAACATAGAAGAAAATGGATAAAATCAGACTTTTTAATTAATTTTAACAGATTAGAGTGAATTAAGGAAACTAAATATTCCTAATTAGTTTGAATCTCCTAAATTTATGCTAATTAATAATTATCATCAATCAATTCAAATTTTATTTACGTAGTTGTCCATCACAAAAAAAACAAGTTTTTTCAAACCAAAAAAAAAAATTCAATTTGTCGCCAGTGACAATTTCTGGAAGAAAATTGAAGAGAGAGAAACGTGAAAGAAAAATGGATAAAATCAGATTTTTAAATTATTTTAACAATTTGGAGTGAATTAAGGAAACTGAATATTCTTAATTAGTTTGAAATTCCTTAATTCATGCTAATTAATAATTATCTTAAATTAATTCAAATTTAATTGTCACCCCGTATTTCAGTTTTTTTTCATTTTTTTCCTTCAGTAAACGTTTTATTTTAAAATTTTTTTTTATCTTTTTTATTCTTTTTCAAAAGCAAAATGTTTTTTAAATTATTAAAAAATAACTTTTTTTTTTAAATTAATCTGTTACAACCTGAAATTTTTAATGTTATAACTTGAAAGTCTAAATCTACTGCTATAACTCGAAAATATTAGTATAATATATGTCATATTAGAAATTTTCACCTAAATTAATCCATTTTTTTAACATTGGGCTTTTGTAGCCCAAATTATAATGGGCCTATTTTAAGTCCAACAGAAAAGAAAAGCCTAAACCAAGTAAACAAAGCATAGAGAGATCAAAGAAAAGAATATTCTCCAACAATATATATATATTTATTTTTTTTGGAAAAAAGTCATTACACCAAACAAAGGTTTGGTTCTCATAAAACAAGGAACACCACTTTCAAATCAGCCTTCTTCCTTAGGGTTTTCCCTAGGGTTTAACCAAATTCTCCATAACAATTTTCTCTGTTTACAAAAAATAAATTCAAACCCTTTAACCAAAATCAGATGATTCAACTCTTTACAGTTTCTCAATTGTAAAATTTGTAAACCTAAACAATAAAAAAGCAATCTTTTTTATTGGATCAAGAAAATGGAAGCAAGAGTAGGTGTATCTGGACATGGCGGTGGTGTAGTGGAAGGTGGTGCAAGAAAGTTTTTACAACAGCCCCAACAAAACCATCTTCAACAAAATCATCATTATCATACACAACAGCAGCAACAACAGCCACAGCCTCAACCTCAGATTGGTACTGTCCCACAGCTTCTTGCTGGTGGCATTGCTGGTGCTTTCAGCAAAACTTGTACTGCTCCCCTTGCCCGTCTCACCATTCTTTTTCAGGTATTCCTTCTTTTCTTGACCCCCTCCTAGTTTATTTTGCTTTTCCTGTGTCCGGTTTAGCTGGTTTAGCTTCTGCACCTCGACTAATTTCACGGGATACCTGTCCACAAGGATAGAACATGTGAGAAGAAATCAGCTCATGTTTTTTTATATGATGGAGTACCACTTGAGCTGAGAGTCTTTCTGAAACAGCCTCTTTAAGCTCTGCGTACTCCACTTGTGGGATTATACGGGGTATGTTGTTGTACAGTATGAGTCCTTCGTTTTGTTCGGGTTCTTTTTATTCTTAGTTAAGATTTAGACAGAAAAAGGAAATAGGATAGATGGGGAGTGGAGTTTCTAGAGGAAAAGAATGATTCCAGAGTGGAATGCTTGATTTTCCGTCTTTTAACATAATTAAGGGGGTTACTAAAGTTAAGATCTTGATCTCTGGAAGAACTTTACTGTTAGCTCATTCAATTGAATAGTTACGTAATTGATGAAATATGGGGTTGAAAAGGTTGAGTCTTTTCTAAATTTGTTCTCTTTATAGGTTGGGTTGTGTCATTTAAATTCGTTAAATGGTTTGGTATTGATAGTGGTGGAGAAATGTATGATTATCAATAATGTAGGGAAGGATGAGAAATTTTACATGTGCGTTTAACTATAGATTTGACTAAGTGAACTCCGTTAGTCCATATGATTAAGTGAAAGATGAGTACTAAAACCTAAAAGCTTTGACTTGTCAAAAATATAGTTATAGTGATGTGCCAACAATTATTTTCCTTGATATCCTGTTCAATTCACTGTATGAAAGTTTTCAATTCGTAGGTTCAAGGTATGCATTCAGATATTGCAGTATTGACCAAGCCCAGCATATGTCGTGAGGCATTACGTATTGTCAATGAAGAAGGATTCAGGGCTTTTTGGAAGGGGAACCTGGTCACTATTGCTCACAGGCTTCCCTATTCCTCAGTCAATTTCTATGCTTATGAACGCTACAAGAGCGTGAGTACTTTATGACATAGCTTTGTCTATATGACATTTGGCACAAAATGTTTCTTTCAGCTTGCATGTTGCAGTCTTTTCTGAAAATTGTTATGTTGGCAGATATTGAAATCAATTCCTGGTCTGGATGGTAAAGGGCGAAATGCAGGTGCGGATATTTTCGTGCACTTTGTTGGTGGTGGATTGGCTGGAATTACAGCAGCTGCTGTCACCTATCCGTTGGACCTTGTCAGAACAAGATTAGCTGCACAGGTATAAATATGTTACAGTGCTTGTAGGTCTTGTTAATCAATTGAACAGTAGAACAGGGTATATTAGTTATCGCTCTGAATTATGTTGGTTTCCTGTCTTGTTTGATTATTGGAGCATCAAGCTGGTGTCGTCCTTAGATTGTAGATGGTCCATATACTTGTCAGATGTCATACTTTTCATCTGTTATACTTGTCTCTATGCCTGTGGACCACATACAAAAAAGGTAGTTATTGCCCTAATTGTCTAGATTGTGGCTTTTTATTTAATCCATAAGTATGACTTAAGCATGTTATTGAACTGGTTCTTCAAGTTTTGTTGATTGTGGCTATTTGTTTGTTCCACAAATTTGTATTCAATATTTCATTTAGCTGGTTCTTTTAAACTTTGCAGAGGAATACCATATACTATCAGGGCATCTGCCATTCTCTTCGTACCATTTGCAGAGATGAAGGCTTTTTTGGGTTGTACAAAGGGCTTGGTGCTACATTACTGGTCTGCCTTTCTGCTCTGTTGAACAGTCCCTGGCTTCATCTGAAAAATGAAAAGTAATTTACAATGCTAATTAGGCATTTGCTTGTCGCAGGGTGTTGGACCTAGTATAGCAATAAGTTTTTCTGTCTATGAGGCTTTGAGATCTTACTGGCAGGTTCAGAGGTAAGTACCACCATGTCTTGAGAGCATACTGTATGGTAGACATTCTATCATTCTTGTATAACATCATCTTGTGTTCCATTTTCTGTTCCTCTCAGGCCCGATGATCCTACTATTGCAGTCAGTCTTGCTTGTGGAAGTCTTTCAGGAATTGCATCTTCAACTGGTGAGTAATTTGTATCAATAACACTAGTTTTTCTTAGTACAATTGAAATATTTGGATTCTTCGCTATGTTCCTTTTCTTGGTTGAAGATTATACCATTTAGGGGTCGTTTGGTATGGGATGGGATAGGCAAAGCTATCCCGCCATATATATGGGATAACGTATCCTCATTATTATAAGTATTAATGGTGGGATAAATAATCCCAAGACTAATTTATACCCCTAACCAAACATAGGATAAAATAATCGTGCATTTTATCCCAGTATCGTTATTCCTTATCCCTTGTACCAAACGACCCTAGAGTATAGCTGTCCAACTTGCCTCTGCCTGGATTAGGATGCTTGAAAAAGTGAATTGTTGGAGGAGTGTAGGGAACAACTTGGTTACAAGTGAATCTATATTGCAGTTCTTAACTGTTCTGTTGTATTGTTGATAATGTGCAGCAACTTTTCCTTTGGATCTTGTGAGACGAAGAAAGCAGTTGGAAGGAGCAGGAGGACGTGCACGTGTGTACAACACTGGCATAATGGGGATTTTTAAACACATAATCCGAACTGAAGGCTTACGTGGCTTGTACAGAGGGATAATGCCTGAGTACTACAAAGTAGTTCCCAGTGTGGGAATTGTGTTCATGACGTACGAGACGCTGAAAAAGCTTCTATCTCAAGGGCCTTTTGATTCTTGACTTTTTCAGTAGTGCACTCTTCCAGTCTTTCTGATTAAAAAAAAAGCCACAAGGTTCAGTTTTGTTAAAGTTACCGGTTAGGAAGAAAGTTTTAAGTATTGATATGGTAATTAGTATTAAACGAGAGAACATTCACACCGCAGCAAATTTTATGGTTGCTGCTGTTTTAACTTGTTTTTTTGTTGTATAGCCATTGAAAATCATTAGTGTCCCACAACAATTGTATTTCTAGATAATTCTTAGGATTCTACCTTTTACCATCTTAGATGATTGTATTATCCATACAGTTTTGTTTGTGGGAACTTTTTTATCTCATATCTTTCCCATTTCATCTAGTGCTTACTTTTGGCTAAGATTAGGCTAATCCCTTCATGATATTGTTGTAAGGACCAGTGGAGTGTTTCACAATACTGTTTGGCAATTGTAGTCAAAGAGGACTATAAGTTTGTTCTTATTGTTCATTTGGTTGCTTGTTGCAAAAAGCAATTTGTTTATACAGACCATTTGATTCTTGAATTCTTGTTGACAGTCAAAATTACTTGTGTTGTATCTGAGTATTTCAAAGAGGTCAAATTATGGAAGATATTTGAATAAGATTACAAGTGCAATCCTCTATTCCTTTTGCTTGTTATTTTAAGCTTTTGCTATGTGCGGGGTTCAGACAGAAGGAGGTCTATTGTATATAGCCTTACCTTTCCTTTTTGCAAGAAACTGTTTTTAAAGCTCAAATTCTTGATTTCCTAGTCATATGATAACACTTTTATTAGTTATGATATTTTATCATGATATCAAAGTCGGAAACATTTAAATTTTTCTTTTGGAAAACAAAATTAGGGGTTGGAATAAACCTTGAGATATTCTGTCAAAGAACATTTCTCTTATAAAAAGGCAGATGTCAGGATGACCAAACGCCCACAACTAAACAAAAAAAATAATTAAAAGTCTCGAGAACATTTGTATATAATTTAGCAAAACACTGTTGGGTGAAATGGGGTGGCGAGGGTGAGCTTGTCAAGGAGTAAAGTTGAGGGCATAATTAGACGGGTGGAGAAAAGATAATAAACTTGGAATGTTGAAGAATATTTTCCCTATTTATATTAATAATAAAGTCATTTTCTTCATTTTGAGGAATTTATTTTCTTTAAAAAAGTTTTGAAAAAAATATTTAACCAATCAAATATAATTTTTTTTACAAAAAAAAAACACTTTCTAAAAAATATTTTTGGCATTGCCAAACACACCCTCAAGCTCTCTAGTTCTACATTTCTCATGTTGTCTTTCATTTCTCATTTATTCTGATTAGTTTAATTTAAAGAGTATTGCTTAATTTCGCACTACCAAACACACCCTATTAGGATTTAATGTTTTAAAAGGTTATTGTGTGAAGCAAAACATTTTTATTTAATTTCTTGATGAAGTGTTATTATAATTATTTTTTTCAATCTATCGTTATTTGGATATATAGGTTTTAATATTATTTATCAAGAAATCATATTAAATAGGCATTAGACACTCCTTTAATTTAGTAGAGTAATTTAGTGAAAAATATCACTCACATTTTAAGGGTAAGTAAATTTTTTAGAAGAATGCATCCAAACTAAAAACATTATATAATATGAATCGAAAAAAATATTTATAAAGATAAAATAAATTGACATCTTCTTAAAATGGACTGAAAGGACCTCAGAAGGGCCTTATTCCATTGTTCTATATTCTTCTTTTTCTTTATTATAAAAAAAAAAAAAAAGGAAGTCAAATTTCTAACCATCAATATCAGATGTAACGACACATGTCGACACTTTCACTTCATATCCTTAATCACAATATAATTTGTAAACAAGAAATGGAAAATTAAAGATGATGCAACTTAAAGAGCCCCTAATTAGTAGGAAGTCGCCTATGTGGTAGATAAGTTGAGGAAAACGAGATTGACATGGTTTAGATATGTGAAGAGGAGATGCGTTAACGTATCAGACATAAGGAGGTGTGAGAGATTGGTTATAGAAGGTACGAGGAGAGGCAGAGATAAACCAAAGAAGTATTGGGGAGAAGTGATATGATAAGACAAGATATGACGGAGCTTTAGATTATCGAGTACATGACCTTAGATAGGAAGGTTTGTAGGACACATATAAGGATAGAAGGTTAATAGGCAAGGTAGTGTTGGCTTGCTTAAGGTGGTTGGTGTTTGCCATTATACTAGTTGTTTTATTGTAGCTCTTGTTTTTGATATTTATCATTGTTTAGTATTGTTTTCATTATCTATCTTACTTTTTTCGATGATTACGCTATTTTGTTATTGTTTTTACTCTCTTCTGATTGACTTCCTTCTCCTATTTCTACCTGGATTTGTTGCACCTGATGAGCTGAAGATCTTTCGAAAACATCCTATCTATCTCTACGAAATAATAATATAGTCTACGTACTTTCTACCCTCTTCAAACCTCACATGTAAAATTTCACTCGATATTATCGTTATCAGCATGGTCATGACATTTCCCAACTTATAATAAGCCAATTAAGGACAATGTAATAATGTGTGACTTATACACCAGCAAATTATAAGAATATGATAAAATTAATCTGATAGAATGCATCTCATTATATTCTCTTTCACAATAATATTCACCCTAAAAGACCCCATATGTACATTCCTCTTGAATTCAAAGATGCTACAAATTCTACCATATTAAGTGTGAACAAGCTTAATCAGGTGGAGTTAAATTGACTAGTGGTTTTTTGATTTTTAAATAGGAATTAGAAGTACTAATAAGCTAAAAGTAATTGTATTATTGATTAGTTAGAAGTAGTTTAAGGCAACAATATTTTAATAATCTTTATGTTATAAATAGATTGTATTGTGAATGTTCATAATATAATTTTCTGAATAAACTTGCATCCTAAAAAGATTTGCAATAGTTTCCTCAGACTTGCAATTAATTAAAAAGCTTACAAGTAACTCAAGCAGGTAGCTTGCAAATAGTTCAACACTAAACAACTCATCAACAACTTTTGAAGAGCGCGCCTTGCAACAACGCTTCTTTTCTTCTATAAATAGAGAGTTAATTCAATTTATTTGTACATCAGTTTGAAGAAAAATAATCTTTTTTTCGTTCGATTTTTTTATTATACTCTTGTTGTCTTGTTATTTTATTATTATTTCATAACACTTTATTAATTTTCCAATCTTAAAAGCTAGTCAATGAGGAAGAGACATCATTGTCTGAGGAAAGAAAGGTTCCATCTTATCATTGGCTTTAAAAAGGAACAGAATCAACAACACAAAATGATATATTCCAGCCTTCTTGGTGACAGCACCTTATCATATAGGAGTATATATTTATATTATTATTATTATACCAACCTTATACTTGACATAATTTTATTATATGGATACTTTATTGAGGCACTATAAATTATTGCTTCTCATGCTTAATTTGTTCATCAACACTTCTCACAAGGAACTAGTTTAGCTATTTCCTCTCTTTACTTCCTTTCTTTCTTAAATTCCTCTTGTTTTGAATATCATCGTTATTATTATTAGTATCATTAATACTGTGTTAGGCTAATGGTAATCTGCATCCTGAGGTTTAGATCAATTTCTAATTTACTGAATCTAGTCCTTGGGATGCAGATTATCTTTACCTCACTAACAGTGCGAAAAATCTTAGTTTGCATGTGGAATTATATTGATACAACTCATGTATTATAAACTTTCAACAACACAGTATACCCAATTTGATCTCATAAGTGGGGTTCGAAAAAGATGTGTTATATGCAGATAATGATGTTAGTTCTGATAGATTCTAGACTCAAAAAGATCATTTCTCAAAATAGTATGAAAGAAGTGCAAGAGTCATGATAAAAACTTTCATTTACTATTAATGCACAATGAATAACTTACGAATAACCTTGTTGATTTTGGATTATGTATTTTTTTTTTTTATATCAAATTAGGTCTCCTAGAACATGACTAGGGTTTTGCAAAGTAATACATTACTTACAAGGACGGCTTAACAAAATTGACGACCTAAAATTAAACCTCAAGAAAAGGCCTTAAATTTAATCAACACTAAGATTTTGCATATTTTTGTTTGATTTCTTTCTTTTTGTTTTGTGACAATAGTGTACGGATCATCTTGTACGTCATTTAACTATTCACTCGACTATCTATGACTACGAGATGCCACCATCTAAAGTGTTTGGTTACTCTACTCACCAAAACTTCGATGATATTGTTATTTTAAAATAGTACCTTTGAGGACCATACCTTATATGGTAATCACAAGTAATTGATTACATATTATATTTTAAGGAATACTAATTTGTGAGACATTATTACATAAGGACTGATTAATTGGTCACATGATCTAAATATTTTTTCCAAGTATCACATGATCTAATTAGTTATGTAACAATAATGATTATTAACCCATAACTTGTCTAAGGATGTGCTTTGTACAATTATTACTTGTTCTCAAACTTGTATAGATAATGTTAAGTCCCTTAATATAATTTATTTAATTACTTTTTATAGCCAAATAATAATACTTTGAGTACTATTACTTGCTCTCAAACTCATTCATGGGCCTCTCATATGATTATGATATACTCTAATAAATGACTACTTACTTATTTATTAACTTTTTTAACCAAACAGTAGACTAACCTATATATATCAAGTGGTCAATTATTGACAAATGATTTAGTTGAGTAGAAAAATATATTGGTTGACAATTGATATATTTGTCTATATATAGTTCATCATCAACATAGAGAGTGTATATCATAGTTGGTGAGAATTGAGATGATTGAACTTTTATAATAATAGAGAAATTAATTAGAGATAATAATGACTAACAATGGTTGATAACTAGGGATAATAATGATTGAACTATAGAAGTTTTTTTTATATGAGTGATTTTTCGATGAAAAGCCTGATATTTGCATTGGAAAAGGAAAGAATAAATTTAAATATATCTCATAACATATACTCACAGTCAAAACAATACCTTATTAAATTTGATTAATGAAGAATAACAAGAAAAATAAAAACAAAAATAAAAAAAAATAGATTGAGAATCCAATAATTAAATATTAATTTTAGTATATTTTTTTTCTAAAAAATTGTAATTGTGAAATCATTAAATAGATATCAAAAATAATATTCTTGAGACTAATGACCCTAAAAAAAATTAAAATAACATAGTTGAACGACTTTTTCATAATAAAATAAAATTAATTAACTATAATAATCAATTACTCAAAATCGAATGACCATCAAAGCTCCTAACTCTGGCATATTCTTTCTGTCCACTTTAACACTAAGAACAGATATTATTGATTCTTATTATGATCCTTTCGGTGATGCATATTTGGATGCTTTGCTTTATATATCCTTAGATTAGACAACTATATAATTAATTACAAAAAACTTTTTCCAAATGTTTAATTAATTAGTTTAAACATGAAGTCCTTTTACTATTCTTCATCAAATCAAATGAAAATGTCCTATTTTCTGAAAAATGTGATTCCCCCAAGATGCTTCCAAAGCTAAAAAAAATATGAGATTCCATTTATTTACAACTTATATTAACTCTAAGCTAAGGTTTATAAAAGTACTTATGGAAACCCATGCCATTTTTTTTAATTAAAATATGTTTTAAGACTGAGACGTTGAAATTTAAATACATATTTGAATATTAAGATATTTTATACTAAATAAGACATTTTGTCTTTTCAATATCAAAACGTATTGTATTGACTTAGAATTTTAATATAAAATCCAATCAGTTTTGATTAATCTAGTACTCTATCAAGTAAATATTCTAAGATAATTATATAGTAGTGGGGGTAACAATGATGTAATAGTGATGGATAGTAATGTTAATGATGACAATTGATAATTGTGATGGACGATAGTAGTAGGTAACAATGATGGAGACTAATATGATAGGATTCATTGAAGATATATATAGGCGCGACGGATAGTAATTGTTATGGTAATGATTGTAAATAGTGACTAACGATAACAATAACATTATGACGATTGACATTAACAATGTTACGGCTAAGGATGATGGTTGTGGATAGTGTTAGTTGATAATGATGGACAATAAAGGTGATAATGTTGTTATTTGTATTTCAAACAATTCTTTAAAATCGAAGACGCAAAGACGCTCTCTTCTCAAACTCTTTAAAAGCAAAAAGAAGACAACTTCACATATAACTATATTTGAGAACTAAAGTTTGATTATGTCTTTGTATTATGATGAATGAGTAGAAAGTTGGAAGTATGTTAGCTGAGTTTCAAAGCTAATAATTGAGTAATTGTGACTTGGAGATGGAAATGGTCAACTATATATTTGAGATGAGGTAGAATAGTTAAAAAGAGCACTCAAAACTTGGAATGGTTCTAATTAAGATAAGAAGTGGCACCACAAGAAGGGACCAGTACAGTACACAACTCAAGTTAACCAAACAGGGAAGTGACACATGGAAGGCAGCCACTTAATAGCAAGAAAAGCTCATTTCAAGATTCCCCAGTCTTCAGGTCAAAAGAAAAACTACAGTCGAAACATTCGATTGGTAAAGTGTATAAAAATAATGTTAAATAGAGTGTATTAGTAATATTTGTGTTAGTTATGCATAAAATATTTTTTTATACATTGTTTGATTTGGTGTATTAAAAAAAAAAATATTGTATAAAAATATCCTCTACAATTATGGTGGAAAAGATGTAAAAGTGCTTTTGAGGGGTAATTTGGTCTTTAGCCATGCTAATGCAGATATCAAATCATTTGCTTTACTAATACCTAGAAATCCATGATAGTAATAATATACTTTTCAATACACAAAAGAGTGTGCAACTAATGCTTACACTAGTTATACGTAGCATAAAAAAATGTACCAAACAAGATACTATTAATACACAAAGGTAATTTAAGCTTTATTTTTATTAATACACTCTACCAAACTACCCTAAGAATCAGATCGTCACTATTGATCAAGGATCAAGGTTGTCATGCTCATTAATCCTATGTACATTATCATGTTTAAAGGTACTCTAGTCTACAAACAATATTTGCATAAGATAGCAAATCAACACTGATTGAATTTTACGATCTTTTACTAATTTTTTTTTATTTGACTCAAAACTTATACTTTTTTTAAGTGATATCGAGATTCGAGGGATGATACCCTATTATCACCTTGAATAGTTCAAATGTTTTTGTTGATATACATTTAGAATGCAACAAGATATGTCTACACCATGGGATCCTTGAAGATTTGTCCTAGTATAGCTTCTTTCAAATTCTAACCTCACCTTTCTACTTTAATGATACCATAAATATGCTATTATTATATTATTCCCAAACCACACAAAATCTGAAGATAATTTAAGATATCAATCATATACTTGAATCAGAATCATACTGATCACTTAAGTATATATTAAATAATCTTTTTGAACAAATTATGAGGAATCCATACTATATGATTAATTATAAATTATCTTGCAATAATATTCATAATAAAAAAGAACAACAAGTAGCAAAAGAAGGAACTCATTTCTTCTATCATATTGGAATTAACATCATACAAGAAGAATATAATATCCTATATGCCAAAACTTCCAAAAAAAAAAAAGGTAGAAAAATACTACTTTTTTCATACATTTCTTGTGCTAAAGATTCTCATGCACCAAAAAGTTCTAAAAAAAATGGCCTAAACTAAAGATTAAGCTAATCTTGAAAAAATAAAGAACTAAAAAGGAATAATTAAAACTTAGAACCCTTTTGACCAAAAATATAAAATCAGAAAACTCGAAATTTTCTAATTTCCTCTTTCAAAGTCAGTCGTCTACGGTTTACATCCTTATTTGGATCGAAGCAAAAATATACTGAATTCTTGACCCGGACCTTCATCGGGGTTAATCAAATGAAAAGACTCCGAATCCGCACCACCAATAATACACTCATAGTTAGCTCTCATATACAACACTTCTTCAGATTCGGTACCCGAAACCAAACCCGACGGAATTACACCCGCCCCGACTGTCATTGACTGCATCGTCTTCAACATAATTCGGGTCTGTTGGGTCGCCCGTCTCCGAACCGCAAACCCGATTTTTCTCCCATTACAGAACAGAGTCCACATTGGAATTGAATGGAGCGGGCAACGGTTCAGCTCCGAATCCGATGATTCAAGGGCAATTCGGACTAATCCACATCGCATTTCTTGAATAAGGGTTGTGGTTGGAATGGAAAGTTCTAGAAGAAGTGAAGGCTTCGTGTTGAGACGATCGTGTTGTACGCAGAACCATACATGTCCACCGCGGCGTTGGCCGAAGATTGTTCCGATTACCATTGTTTTAGAAGAACGCGGTGGAGCTGAGAGTGAAATTGCGGAGCCGGAGGCGCTGCTGGTGGTGTTTGTAGTGCTGATTGGGGTTGTTGGGTATGAATCTTCTTGATCTTCTTCGAATTTCTTTTCTTGTTTTGAGTCGTCGAGATCGTCACGCAGTGAGGTACTCAGGCGTTTTTTGGTGGAGATTGTGAGCGGCGCCGGTGGTGCTGGGGATGTGGGTGTTGAATTGAAACAGGGGAGGAGAAATCGACGGAGAGCATCGACTTTCGGCATTTTTTTTGGATCGAAAATTGCAGAGAAATGAAGAAGATGAAGATGATTTTTTTTTGAATGGGTAATATGCAGAGCAGAGCAGTATATTTATACTGTATTAAGAAATAGTTATGACTGAAAAAACAGAGAGAGGGAAAATGGAAAGAGCGGGAACAGATGTAGTAGCCGTTACATTGTTTACCTGTTTTCGAAACTAATTAGCTCGACTAATTTAAATACGCATAGTTCTTAAAGGGTAAATTGATGTTCTAAGATCAAGAGTTTCAAATCGCAGAAATAGTTAATAATAAGAAAATTCCATTCATCCCGCCATATTGATTGGAATGATTGTTATATATTATATTGACTATATACTATGTTCGGATAGATTATATTATTCTTCGTCGTTATTATGTTTAAATGAATTTGTTTTGTTGCGGAAAAGGATGAATTAAGTGAAAATACGTGCTCTGTTTTTACTACTATTTTAATGTAGGAGTAAAATAAATAGCAGAGAATGACAAAAGACCAGATTTTTATGTGGACAGAGATAGAATTGAAAGGATTCCAGATTGTTAAGAAACATGCAGGTTTTGACCTTTGACCAAAGTACTTCATCCTTCGTTTCAATTTATTCGTCTGATTTTAATTTGACATAAAAAATTAAAAATAATAAAATGATATTTAATTTTGTAATTTTACGTATATGATAGAAAAAGTTAGAATTAAAGAATTAAAGAATTACAAAATAAATAAGAGATAAACAAACAGATTAACACGAAGGGAGTTATAGTTTCAAGGATCGTTTGATATGCGAACATAAAATAATCTCAAATTAAATAGGATAAACGCAAGATATCCAATGATTAAATCTCTGATAAAATTTATATTGCATTTAATTAACAATATATGTTATCCCAAATAAATTTCTGCCAACCAAAATGCAATATTAATTTTATCTCACTTTATCCTTTAGTATAGAAGGGGTTTTAGATTATATAGGAGGTGGAGGCAGGGACAACAAACATAGATAGAATCGAGAGGTTCATTCAAATTCTTTTCAGTATAAAATTATAATATTATTTATATATTAAATATCTTTAATTTTTTTTTTATTTACTTTTCATGTTTTGAACTCTTTGAATACAATAATAATATATTCAATAAAATCTTATTAGGTGAAGTCTGAAAAAGATAAAGCATAAACATACTTTTTACCACTATCTCAAGAAGGTAGAAATGTAGTTTCTGAGAGATCCTCAGCTCACACACATCAAATCCAAGTAAAAAAAAAAAAAGAAAAGAAAGAAAGCATAACCGTCACTAAGAAAATCAGTATAAAGTCTATAAAAAATAAAGAAACAGTAACAACAAGTAATCAAAATACAATACATAACAATAAAACAAAAACTACAAAAAATTTGAAATATTTGTGAAAATTCTGATTTTGTCATTATGCGGAGAGGAGTTTGTCTGGTCAAAGGATGCTTGAAGGAAAAGGGGAAATACAGCTGGATTCTGATTAAATTCTACTAGAAATTGTTTCCCTTTAAGGCAGACTCTGCATTTCTATTCTTTTGCAGATGAAAGGAGGAATCTTTACTCTCCCTTTAATAAAAAATCAAAGGTGAAATGCTGAGGTGGTACAAAAAGAGATGTCATCAAATTTTTGATTTTTTAATAATGGATTGGTCTATTAGGCAAAGAATTGAATGTTGTGTACAAACCAATGAACTCATATGTCCACGTATTTAATTTAATCTCAACTGATATAAATCTCTTAACTCTTAATAATTAAAGGAATATTTTGGAACCCATAAGAGATTTACTTGTCTATATATTATTTCATTTGATCGTTTAGGTCCCGACTTCACCTGGATGGTTAGGTCATTACACCCTTAAAGTCTATACGCTATAGATAGACTCCAGGAACCATGACATATTTGCTTAGTTGAACATAATTTCTTTCCACGAAAAGAAGAGAAATGACTCATTACACAAAATGAAAAGCTTTTTTTACGAGGTATAAATAAAAATCTCTTTATTTAATCTGTTACGAAATCAACGATAGATCAATTCTCTTTTTATTTGGGAGTATTGACTACACCCAAATTCTGAGCTTTATGTTACTCTTTCTAAGTGACATGTCAAGTCCAAGGCATCTCAATTGGATTGACTGGGATGACAGTTTCTCCTTATTTAAATCTTTTAAGTTTGAGTGTACACATGTATAACTTAAACACTTAAAAAGTTGAATAAGTAGATACATTTGTCTTATATGATGTCCTTATATGGCAATTCACGTCTTATATGGAGTGTGGTCATTAACATTTAGCAACATTTAGATCCCTCTCTTGGAAGAATGAGTTGCATATGTATCCGTTAACTTTGAAAAAATTGTGTATATATAAGGATTATATATTTGCTTGTGCACTTTAAAACACAAAAGTTGATTTGGTGCACTAATTTGGCGAGTGCCCTTAGTCCCTCTACGCAGGCATTGTGTTAATTAGGTTCGTTTAATTTATATTTATTCATTATCAAAAGGCATATTATGTGTTATGTGCGTCTTTTTGATAGAGTAGTGTATCACTTTAAATTATGGACTCACCTCTTATTAGTATGATATCATAAGGATCGTGAATGAGAGTATATGGAGTTTATCTAAGTCTCAGCAGGTCGATAAAAATTTGTCAGCATCATCAAATTAAACATATGTTGTGTGTTTGAATATAGATATTTTTTTATTTAATTATAATTAAATTGATATATAATTACTTTATTAAATTATTTAACTATAGTAATTTATTTTAATTCGATATAAATATTTGATACGAATAATTCTTTTATAATTGATAATTGAAATTTGTTTTGCCTTGAACTTTGGCCAATGCAGCAGAGCATAAAGATGAAATATGTTTTCATTGGTAGGGACTAGGAGGAATGGAATATTCTAATGAAACTTTTTGGGAAATGGCACATAATTAGTTCCTCATTCTTTATTAAAGTATTATTTTATCAGTTTTAATTTGTTTGTCTGATTTTAATTTTGTATCATTAAAAAAATATAAAATAATGTAATTAATTTTGTGTTTTAATGTAATTAATTATACTTTATAATTTTTTTTTATAGTCATTCAAATATTTTGGAATGTTTAATATTAAAAGTTAATTTTTTTTATATTAACAAAAATATTATGACATATTTAAGAGCTCAAGTTTCGAAAGTCTTCATTTCGTTTTCAAACAAGTTCCTCTCTTTAATTTTTTAATATTTACAAGACATGTTTTAGATCAGAAAATTCAAAAATTATTTTGAATATATTATAATTTATACATTCTTTAATTTTAATATTACAAAATCAAGATATCTCTCTAATTATTTTTAAAAAAAATTTCTATGTTCAATCAAATTAAAAAACGAAATGAAACAAAGGGAGTATAACTATTTCTATAGTCATTATATATTTATAATTTTTTTGTAATCAAATGTATTAAGATTATCTACAAAATTATTTCAAAAAAGGTAAAACAATTATCACTAGAAAAAGTGTTTTCGTTACAATTGGCTCTTCTTTTCACGAAGAATGTTGAGACTTGAATAGCGTTATTCATTACGCTTTAGAATTTTGACAAACTCACACCAAAAGTTTGGTTGGGTAATTTTGGTTTTCGATATTTATAGTATTGTATTATTATTTATATTAAATTAATTTAATATAATTTGATATTTTAAAAATTGATTTTGATATTTTATGATACGATATATGTCGAAATCATAATTATTTATTATGTAAGTTGAAGTTGACCAAATTATAGTTATCTTTTTTTAGAAAAAATTAAGAAACATTTCAATATATCATACTTACACCTTACATATGAAAATATGGAAAACAAAATTCAAGCAATCCTGTTCGTTAATCATCCAAAGAAAACATTTCAATCAAAGATATAATCAAAGTTCCAACATCTAAATGATTAATTTTATATATTTTCCAAAAAACTAACTTTTTAAAGATGCATCCCAAATATCATAATATCAATTTTTTTTATTTTGATATGATATTTAGTATCTATCATACCATGTCCACCCCAAGCCACATACACACCATCCTCTTTAATTCAAACCTAACTTATGAAACTACACTTCATATATTATAATTGCATATGTCGAAATATTTTTCCACTACTAAAAAGAATATCGCATATAATGAGACATGAGTATTACTAATTCCCATGAAAAGGTTGAATGAATAGTTTGAAAGGTCTTTTTTAAAGAGGGCTATTTTCTACTTTATTTCAAAATCATAAAATTAGATTCCTTCATGATTAGAAACTCAACGATAATAGGCCCATCTTTCTATCCTTCCCCACTTAAATGCAGGGTTTGAACTCGTGATGTGTCTCAAGCTCACACATCACATATCTTTAGGGGCAAACATGTTTCCTTTGTTATTGATGTAACCAAAACTCTAATTCATCAACTAGAATACAACAAGATGGAATTATTAAGCTAGAAGCACAAACAAGTGACAAAACTAGTTGGCTTAGTTATAAGTCGCCTCCATCTCTAACTCTTAAGGTTTTGATTTCGAGTGAAGAACCACTGATGAACACCACCCTGAGAATGCCCGAAAGATAAAAGAAGCATACAGATACAGTTACTGCACACCACTCCACCTCGCCCAGTCCACAAACTGCATTCCAGCATATATATTGTTGGCAAATCGCACACCAACCGTGAATGCCATTGCAACAGGCGGAAACTGCTTTCCCATTGGAGAAGATTCCACCAGACGTTCTAATCCGGTCACAATCTGTAACCTGGTGTTTGAAGAAACTCCGAGGAAAACACCTACATATAACACGTTAACCAAATGAGGCAGGCAGGATGGAAGTTATAGAAAAGAACGCAGCTTGCAATGACGATGCATCAAAGAAGGCTAAAACGCAACATGATTCAAGAAACACTAAGAGTAGAATATGCATTTTACTTAATTGAGAAGATAGGAAGTGGGAGGTAAAATCTGAAGATTCAAGTCCAAAATTTTCAACCTTTACCAGATGTAAGAGAGTTAATTTCGTCAAATTTTGAAAAGAAACATGTGATTTCTTGATTGCATCATCACTCACGCAAATTGCAATATCATCATTGACTACGAAAATTTGTAAATCTCCCCTATACTACAATATTAT